GGCGCTTATCCAAATCACCAGCATAATTGGAATCATCATATCCAACCACACACTGACCAAGTGCTTCATCCTGTTCAAAAACTAAACCAACATCCACGGTTTGTTGGAGATACCGTAGAATCCATTTCACAGCTTGCCAATGTCCTTCTCCAGGACCATGCATGTATCTGCTCACAACTCCAACTGCTTGAGAAATGCCAAGACGCGTACACACCATTGCATACATCAAGCTCCTAACTGCATTAGCATATGGAACTTTTGCCATATACACTCGTTCTTTGTTAGTTTTAGGAGATAATTGAGAACTAAGTTTCAAGTGAGAAGCCAATGGGATACTTACATGTTTGGTATTTTCATTCATGCCAAAATATTGTAATACCTTTCTCAGATACTGCTTCTGTGTTAAACAAAGCTTCCCTCTCTGTCTATCTCTGCTTATCTCCATACCAAGAATCTTCTTGGCCTCACCTAAATCTTTCATCTCAAACTCTTGATTCAACTGAGCCTTTAATTTGTCTATATCCTTTTGACTCTTCGAAGCGATCAACATATCATCAACGTACAATAGAAGATATATTAAAGATCCATCTTTGAGCTTTTGCAAATACACACAATGATCCTATTTGCTTCTAGTATACTTTTGCCTCCTCATAAAGCTATCAAATCGCTTGTACCACTGCCTCGGAGATTGCTTCAATCCATATATAGCGATTTGTTTAACTTACAAACCCATTTCTCACAACCACCATCTTTGTATCCTTCTGGCTGAGTCATATAGATCTCCTCTTCTAAATCAGCGTGCAAGAAAGCCGTCTTTACATCAAGTTGAGCTAGCTCCAAATTCAACTGTGCTACCAAGGCCAACAATATTCTAATGGAGGAATGCTTCACAACAGGGGAAAATACTTCATTGTAGTCGATTCCCTCCTTTTGAGCGTAACCTTTAGCTACAAACCGTGCCTTGTAGCGAATATCTTTCTTGCTATGAGATCCATCTTTCTTTACAAATACCCACTTGCATCCAATGGCTCTTTTACCTTTCGGTAATTGTGCCAGTTTCCAAGTGTTGTTCTTTTGGAGAGATTGCATTTCTTCATCCATGGCACTTTTTCACTTATCACTTTCCAAGCTTTGTATTGCTTCTTGGTAAGTGATAGGGATATCATAATCAATAACTGGAATAACATAGGCCACCATATCAACAAATCGAGCAGGTCTACGAATTTCTCTCATTAGCCTTGTAACTACAAGTGGTTCTGGTGTCTCCAATGGTTCTTGGGTTTGAACCTCTTCATCTTCTGATTCTTCTATTGGAGTTGAAGAATCAACTGCATCAACTTCTGGCATCATCGTCTGCTGAAACTCCACTTGTTTTGGAGTATGCTCCACCTGCTGCGGAGTACTACTTGTCTGGACAGTTTCACTTGTTACCTTCTTTACTAGGGCAGATTCATCAAAGGTAACATCTCTGCTACAAATTATCTTCTTGGTGTCTAAACACCAAAGGCGGAATCCCCTCACTCCATGGGTGATTCCCATAAAGAGAGCTTTCTTTGCTCTTGAATCAAACTTGGATTCCTTCACATGATAATATAAGCAGTGGATCCAAATACATGTAAGGAATCATAATCAGTAGCAGGTTTTCCAGACCATACCTCCAATGGTGTTTTTTCTCCTATCGCTGATGACGACAGACGATTGATAAGATGGCCAACATATATCACAGCCTTAGCCCAAAATGCCTTGCCTAACCCAGCATTAGACAACATACATCGAACTTTCTCCAATAGTGTTCGATTCATACGCTCTGCCACCACATTCTGTTGTGGTGTATGTCTAATAGTGAAGTGTCGAACAATACCATACTCATGGAAAACGTCAAAGAATGAGTCACTTTTATATTCCCCTCCATTGTCTGTCCTAAGACGTTTGATCTTTCTACCAGTCTGGTTCTCGATCATATTTTTCCATTTTAGGAAAATTTGAAGCACTCCATCTTTAGACTTCATCGGATACACCCAAACTCTTCTGAAAAGTCATCTACAAAAGTTACAAAATAACGATTTCCTCCCAAAGACGATGTCTTTGAAGGACCCCATACATCTGATTGAATATAATCTACAATATACCTTTTGTATTATGTATAGTGGTGCCAAAATTCACTCTCTTCTGCTTTCCCAGAACACAATGCTCGTAAAAGTTCAATTTGCAAGCCTTTGCACCTTTCAACAATCCTTTCTTTTCCAGAATTTGCAAGGATTTCTCTCCAGCATGTCCCAACGGCATATGCCACAACTGGGTTGCGTCCAAATCATCACCTCCAGAAGCTGCTGTAACTGCTCCAATAATTGTACTACCTTGGTAGTAATACAAATTATTTTTCCTGATGCCTTTCATCATCACAAGTGCGCCATATGTGACTTTTAAAACTCCATCTCTCATAGTGACTACTGAGCCTTTGGATTCCAAGGCTCCCAACGAGATGAGATTTTTCTTCAAACTGGGCACATATCGGACTTCCGTCAGAACTCTGGTTGATCCATCTTGATTCTTCAATCGAATTGAACCTATCCCAACAGTTTTACAGGCATTGTCATTGCCCATATAAACAACTCCTGCATTTAGTTCCATTAAATCGGAGAACCACTCCCGATTAGGGGACATATGATAGGTGCAACCCGAATCTAATATCCACTCATCGGAATAGAATGTTGTTGATGAAGCAACCAATGATATGTCAGAGTCATGTGCATCATGCTCTACAACACATGCATCTGGAGTAGCTTTTCTTTTCTTCTTCAGCTTCGGACAATCTTTCTTCCAATGGCCTTTCTCATGACAAAAGGCACATTCATCTTTTCCCAGTCTGGACTTCGACTTTGATCTCCATCTCCACTTTGGCTTTTGACTTTTCGAGCGACCTCTTGCCACCATGGCCTCCGCTGCTTCGTACTTGCTCTCCTTCTTGGTTTTCTTCCTGAGTTCATAACTATACAAAGTAGCAGTTACATCTTTAAGGGTAACATTATCCTTACCATGAAGTAACGTTGTCTCAAGGTGCTCAAATTCATCTGGAAGAGATGACAACAACATCAAAGCCAAATCTTCACCTTTGAAGGTTTCATCCATGCCCAATAAGTCTTCCACTAGCTCATTGAACGCAGTGATATGTTCATTCATACTGGTGCATGGTTGATAATCAAATCTGAACAATTTTTTCTTCATATGGAGACAATTCTGAGAGCTTTTCTTCAGGAATTTTTCCTCCAAAGCTTTCCACATCTTACTTGCAGAAGTCTCGTTCTTATAGCCATACTTCTGCTCCCTGGAAAGACAATATCGAATCGTGCTGCACGCCAAACGATTGATTGTTCCCCATTATTTCTCCTCCATATATTCGGGCTTTTCTTTCTCAATGGCGTTGTCTAGACCTTGTTGGAATAAAGCGTCTAACACCTCGCCTTGCCACATGCCAAAATGACTGGATCCATCGAACAACTCCACCGAGAAATTTGCATTTGACATCACCCTCCTCACCGGTCCAAATGAAGAGCTTGATGTCTCAACTGATCCGTATTTTGGCATTATAATTCTAACGAACAATATTCAATATCACGAACTATATCTTTTCAGCAACGAAACCACCATGATAACCTCAACCGAAGCTCTGATGCCAATTGTTGGGGAAAACAAGTTATTTCCCACATGAACGTAGTTTTAAAATTGACATAAAATGTCAAGATTAAAACCACCAAAGGTTGCACAGCGGATAAACCTGTCAAACTATTGAATATTGAAACACAATGGAAAATAACCGAATAAGAACAATAAAGGAGAGAACACACAAAATTTACGAGGTTCGACGAGAATATCATCTACTCCTCGGGCACCACACCGGATGATAACTTCACCATATCGCCAATATTACAACAAATGGAATTCTTTAGAATTCCCAAAGTGGGAGAATGAAGAATACAAGAGGAAGAGAGAACTTGTTTTTTTGGGATAATTTCTAATGGAAATACTTAGGCCTATTTATAGTTGAGTTTTAAGAACAATATGTTCAAAGTTTGGCCACCTACCAAAGAATTTTCCAATGTGTACAAATTAGTCACCAAATATGAAATTCATATGTTCAAAGTTTGGCCACCAACCAAGATAAAATTTCCAATAAGTTGGCCACCAACCAAGATGAAATTTCCAACTTGTCAACTTAATTTATAGACAAATCTAACAAAAGGTTTATTAAATTCCATCGAAATCATTTGCTGACCTGCAAGTTGCAAGGTATATGTGAACTTTAGAACAACACAGAGCATGAGATCATCAGGTAAGCAAATATACTTCCACTTGTTCCAGGAAAGAGTTGAGTGTATACGTAGAAAATTTGCTATCGGAGAGTTGAATTCAAGCATATGCATAATTCTAGTTTTGCCGACCTATTAATTTATATTTGATGTCTATAAAAAAAAAGCGTTGTATTACTAGTTGCACTGTAAAGTTCTGAATTGATCTTCTTACATAGGCCTTGTCTTGTTCTGTAATCTTCTTCGCTGCTAAATTGATTAATTATTGGTAGCAGGACCACCTACTTCATTTATTTCTTTAAATCTCAGTAATTAACCTTATTAATTTCCTTCTAGCAACTTGCCCTTCCATCTTTTCCGTGGCAAACGTTAATGCCATTATTTTAGAGTACCATTAATTATATTAACGCTGACAACCTGAGGCTCCTTGGGTAGTTTAAGCACCTAGTGAACCCTAATACGAAGTCTACTTGATCCTTTGGGACTTCCACGAGACCTCTCCTGTTCACAGCTAGATGCGGCGAAGCGGATTAATATTTTATATACCATTTTTTAAAACTTGTTTAGGGTTGGGAACCTTCACTTTCATAGGTCTTTACAGTTTAAACAGCTTTTAAAATGCCAGTCATTCTCATATCAGTACCAATCAAGCCTTCTTTAATCTAACAGCAACAAAAGAACTTGTTTTGTGCACTTTTCCTGCTTTTGCATTGAGAGGGAAAGGAGCAAGACAATGAGTGAAATTGAAGGATCTCTAGGAAGCTCCATGCATGGAGTGACTGGAAGGGAACCCACTTTTGCCTTGTCAGTTGCTTCACCAGTGGTTTCAACTGATACAACCGCTAAGTTTGACTTGCCTGTGGATTCTGAGCACAAAGCCAAAGTTTTCAAGCTTTTTTCTCTGGCTAATCCCCACATGAGAACTTTTCACTTATCCTGGATCTCTTTCTTCACTTGCTTCGTCTCCACCTTTGCTGCAGCGCCCCTCGTTCCCATTATCCGTGACAACCTCAATTTAAAGAAACAAGATATTGGGAATGCTGGGGTTGCTTCTGTTTCCGGAAGTATATTTTCAAGGCTGGTAATGGGTGCTGTTTGCGACCTTTTGGGACCTCGTTACGGTTGCGCATTTCTGATCATGTTATTGGCTCCCACCGTGTTTTGTATGTCGTTTGTTTCAGACGCCGGAGGTTATATCGCTGTTCGGTTTATGATCGGTTTCTCACTTGCTACATTTGTGTCTTGCCAGTACTGGATGAGCACAATGTTTAACAGCAAGATTATTGGGCTTGTCAATGGAACTGCAGCCGGATGGGGTAACATGGGAGGAGGTGCAACTCAGCTTTTGATGCCCTTAACTTACGAAATTACTCAACGTGTTGGTGCAACTCCATTCACTGCTTGGAGAATTGCTTTCTTCATTCCTGGATCGCTTCATGTCATCATGGGAATCTTGGTCTTAACACTTGGCCAGGACTTGCCCGACGGGAACCTTAGCAGTCTGCAAAAGAAGGGGAATGTTGCTAAAGATAAATTCGGCAAGGCAAGTCTTTTTCATTTAATTTTAAATTTCCATTATGTTAATTCTTTAATTATTTTTCTAAAAAAGAATGGCTTTTATCATTGCAGGTGCTATGGTATGCCATTACAAATTACAGGACCTGGATTTTTGTCCTTCTTTATGGCTACTCTATGGGAGTTGAATTATCAACAGATAATGTCATTGCTGAATATTTCTATGACAGGTAAATCGAGTCTCCCTAAAAACACAATTTACCTTTATTTATTTATTTATTTTTAAATAACAATAAAATTAAACCAACAGGTTCAATCTCAAACTCCACACAGCAGGAATAATTGCAGCTACCTTCGGTATGGCAAACCTACTAGCCCGACCCTTTGGCGGTTATGCGTCGGACAAAGCTGCTCAGTTATTTGGCATGAGAGGAAGGCTATGGATCCTATGGATCCTTCAAACATGTGGAGGTGTTTTCTGTATCTGGCTAGGCCGTGCCAATACACTTCCCATTGCTGTCTTGGCAATGATCCTCTTCTCCGTTGTAGCTCAAGCAGCCTGTGGAGCCACTTTTGGCATCATCCCTTTTATTTCACGGCGATCTCTGGGAATCATTTCAGGTCTAACAGGCGCAGGTGGAAACTTCGGGTCCGGATTGACGCAGCTAATATTCTTCTCAACCTCGAGCTTTTCCACAGCAACAGGTCTTACTTGGATGGGAGTCATGATCTTGGCTTGTACTCTTCCTGTTACTCTGGTTCATTTCCCACAATGGGGCAGCATGTTCCTTCCACCTTCAAAAGATGTAAACAAGTCCACCGAAGAACATTACTACTCCTCGGAGTGGAACGAAGACGAAAAGAAAAGAGGCATGCACTCTGCTAGTCTCAAGTTTGCCGAGAACAGCCGGTCCGAGCGCGGAAATCGTGTGGCCTTGTGAGAAAGGAGACATCGGAGACAAGATATGAGGAACGACCGATGACCGGAGTATAAGAAGAGAGACTTAAAGAAGGGAAATATACTGAAAGTGTATTAACGAAAAGTACTTCCACCCATTACAAACAGTACATATATAGCATCACTCAAACAAGTTTAACAACTTTGATCCAACAGACTAACCAACTTTTAATAAACTTAGTTAATTTTGACTAACTCAATACCAATTAATTACATTTTATTATATTATATTATATTTCTAACCTTCACCCTACTTTCTTCATTCTTTTTTAATTTTCTTGAAAATTTCAACTTGTGTCTGAAGCAATGCCTCCTTTCATTCTATTTTAGGCGAGAATCGAAAGAGCGATGCCTCATTCCATTCTATTTTAGACGAGAATTAAAAGTGCGATGTTTTCTTCCGTTCTACTTTAGATAAGAATCGAAAGTACGATGACGAGAATCAAATGTGCGATGATTTCTTCCGTTCTACTTTAGACGAGAATCGAAAGTGCGATGCCTCATTCCATTCTACTTTAGATAAGAATCGAAAGAGCGATGTCTCCATTCTATTTTATTCACCTTTCTTTTTTCTTCTTTTCATTTTCTTAACTAAAGTTCCTTTAGATTTTCTGACATAGACACTTGGCTGTGAAGCTTTCAAGTCCATGTTACATTGTCATAGAAGCAACAGACCATGAAAAAACTAAAGCAAATTTCTTGAGCAAATAAATCAGCAGTGCAGACCAAGAAGCAACCAGCAACAACCACCGAAACTAGTGATTCAATAGTGACCAGAGCGAAAGAACTTGAATAAATGACTCAAGACTTCCAAAATGCTCTAATGGAGGAATAAAGTTCAGACAACACATTTCAAATCCAACCCAATAGAGACTGAATCAAAACAATAGTATCTTCCCCTACTAACCGAAAATAAAAATCATACTCACCAAGAATCAAGCATCTCAACTTTTACCAAGAACTATGTCCCCACCATTGTTGCACAACATATTCAAAGTTACGAACAGGAAAAAAACCAGCCATAAGGTGATAGTCGATTCAATCTTCAATTGTGAATCTACCATCAGAAATTACCAAAAAATAATGCAATAATCGAAGTAGAGCTGCATCTTCAAAACTTAATGGTAACCCAGAAAACAATTATCGATGAGCGATGGAAAAAAATAACGAATAAAGAAGCATATTGTCGATGCGCGAATGAGGATTGAGAAGCGAATACATGTAAAGAGAACATGCATTAAAAACAAAGGAAACAACCAGGGGCAACATGTAAGACTTGCGATGAAGGAAATGCTGATTGCCGATGGGTAAGACTTGCGATGAAGAAAGTATCGATTGCCGACGGAAGGGGCAGCAACGAAGGAAACTTTGATGCGATTTGGGGAACCCGATAAAAAAAACGAAATGCCAAATGCGGAAGAAAAACGGCATGAGGATCTTCAGCGATACCATGTGAAAAAGGAGACATCAGAGACAAGATATAGGAACAACCGATAACCTGAGTATAAGAAGAGAGACTTAAAGAAAGAAAATATACTGAAAATGTATTAATAATGAAAAACACTCTAACCCAATACAAACAGTACTTATATAGTACCACTCAAACAAGCTTAACAACTTTTATACGTCAGACTAACTAATTTTTAACAAATTCAGTTAGTTTTGACCAACTTAATACCAACTAATTATATTTTATTATATTATATTTCTAACAGGATTCAGCACCAACCCCACCTAATACAACACCAATATCCCATGTTTAAGCTATACAGGCATCCAATATATTCTTTCTTGAGAAGGGTTATGGTCTGTTGTATTCTGAATCTGAAATCTGGATTAAGCTTAGTTGTTTAGATGAAACTAGATATTATAATATTCATAACCAGGATTCCAAGTTAATGGTGGAAATGAAGAAAGAATCTAAGAGGGAACGGTTTATTGATACGCATCTCAATGTATGATTCCATGGCCTTCCAAATTTTTAATAATTAAGGGACAGTTGACTTGTCGTTCATTGTCAAACACAACTATGGGTGTTTGGTTCAAAAATTGTGGGATTTTCATAGAATTTCACATTCTCATGTTTGGTTGGTCGGGAATCTCATTCCCGGTAATGTTTTATTAATAATAGTAGATTTTTTTGGGTATATTACCGGGAATACCATTACCTCAATTCCCTTAGGTATTGTAACATTACCGGCGTTTTGGACTAAAATGCCCTTAAATTATTATTTTTTTCTCAAAAATATTCTTATTCTGTCATTGAATGATAAAAATTCTACGAAGGTTAAATTACAAATTTATCCTTAAATTATTTTAGATTTACAAAAAAAAATCTATAATTAAAATTTTATATGAAGTTCAGGGGTTAAATTTTTTTTACCCTTTCATTAAACTTTTTTTATATTTTTAATTTTGTAAAAAAATTTATATAAATATTATGAATTTAATTTTTTAAAGAAAATATATAAATATTTTATAATTTGTAATATTATACAAATATATAATAAGGACAATTTGGTCAAATATACATTCTAATAATCTTTTATTCCTTTAACCAAACACAATAATCTTACATTCCTGCTAAACCAACCAAACACAAAATACAACATTCCCAGTAATCATATTCACTGGTAATCTTTTATTCCCACTGGTAATCTTTTATTCCCACTGATAATCTTACATTCCGTGAACCAAACGCACCCTAGAGTTTTGCCCATGTATGCCTAAGCATAACATATTAAAATAGCAACACATTTCAATTATCTAGTCGGTACATTGCGTCACCACAAGTGTAAGATTTTCTCATTTATATAGATATGGTGCAAAGCTACAACCGTCACTAAAGTTTAAATAATTTATTGGTTTTATTTTTTTTATAAAAAGTCATAAAATTAATTAATTTAAAGAAGGGTTTGTTATCTAGTAACGTGACTTAAACGGAAAATATGAATTAATAAGAGTGATATTGATCAAATAGGAGTATCTTTGTCCAACATTTTTTTCATTGCATCAAATTAAGAAATTATTTTATTATTGATAAAAGTAATATTTAAATTAAAATATGATTATACAAACTAAATGATCTCAATTGTTAAGAGACTAGATTTTATCTCTAAAGGTTTCAGATTTAAACACGACGTCCACGTAGATATTGAATGTTCATTGTCAAATGTCTTGAGTCCTTCAAATAAATACTATCTTATGATTACCTTAAACTGAGAAAACCCTTATGAACATAAACTTAAAGCGATTATTATAAGAATAAGTAGAATAGTGAGAGTAATCCAGTGCACTCTGGACTTTTGGCCACGAATCTCCACGTGCTGCACAACATCATAAGGATAACTCAAATCAAATCATTTGTAATCAAATCAAAGAATCTATCAATCAAATCAGTGTAGATCAAGCAAATTGACAGTTTGCCACAATCCATCAATCAAATCATCAACCAGAATAACTCAGTCTCCAACAACACAGGTAAATCTTTGGAACAACATGAAATAAAAAAAATACAGAATGTGTAGAGTGTTGGGAAATAAACGAGTAAACAAGTAATTTCCCTGTAACCATATTAGTAAGAATGCGAAATAAAAGTGGAAAAATAATACCCGAAAATTGATAACGGAGTTCATCCAATTGTTCTTACGTCTCCAGACTACTGCAAATCGTTTACTAAGAGAGAAAATTTACAGGTGTTTACAAAACACTCACTACTTACAAGAAACTCTCTAGTATTGGGAGAAAGAAATGATTTGGGATTTGGGATTTGGGATGATTTTGAAGCTAAATGAGCTAGGGTATTTATAGTTGAAACTTAGGGACTAATCTTTGAAAATACCCTAAAGTGCAATGACTAAAGTGAATTTACCCATTCCTATTTTCAACAAACATCTACCAAACTTTGAAAAACATTTTTCAAAGAAACATTTATCAAACTTTGAAAAACATTTTTCAAAGTTGGTTGCCAAACTTTGAAACTAACTTTTAACAATCTCCCACTTGAAGACTGATTTTAATCTGTCTTCACACCTCGATCAATGCAGCAGTATTTCTGGTCTTGTTATTCTAGCATGCCAACTGAAGTTTAACACAACTTCAGTTTGTCCATAGTCACCGTCTTTGTCAACATGTCTGCCGGATTTTGAGCTCTACTAATCTTTTCAAGTTTCAAAATCCCATCTTCCAGAAGAGATCGGATAAAATGATATCTCAATTGTATGTGCTTCATCCTGGAATGAAAAGACAGATTCTTTGCTAGATGGATAACACTTTGACTGTCGCAATACAAGACATTGTTTTCTTGTTTCTTGCCTAACTCTTCCAAGAAACTTTGGAGCCAAACCATCTCCTTGCTGGCTTCCGTAATAGCGACATATTCTGCTTCAGTTGTGGAGAGAGCAACTATCTTCTGTAGTTGAGAAACCCAACTCACTGCTGTAACATCCTCAATACCGGGTTATTGACTAAATTATAAAGTCTCAGAATTTGGTGGTTAGAATAAAATGAATGAATAGTATAAATATTTATATGTAAATTATTGTGTAGGATGTAATTGAAAGGAAGAAGGAATGGAAGGACAATAGAGTAATTGCAAGGAAAAATAATTAAGAAGGGATAGTATATAAGGATACACGTGGGTGGAAGGGGAGAAAACACCCAAGACTTCCAGAGTTCTCTTCTTCTTCTTTCTTCCTTGTGCGTGTGAACCAAAGCAAAGGTAAGATTTCTGATTATTGAGTTTCTTGTTAAATTGAATATTGGGTTTTGATTATTAGATGATAACTAAGTTTAAGGAAAGCTTAAGTTATCTTAACATCAAAGGATGTTGGAGTTAGGAGAGATTTAAGATTGAAAGTTCTTAAATGAAATCTTGGAATAGAGTTCATAACTAGAATTGAAAGTTAAATTTGACTTGTCATCAATCTAGTTAAGATATACGAAGTGTTAAAATTGGAATTCAAACATGTTGATTTATTGATGTAATTCTTGAATTACATATGAAGGATATAATTTGGAGGTTTAAGATGAAATAAATGAGTATAAATTGGTTTAAGGATGTGTACTATAGTTAAGAATGAAAAAGAGGATTTAGCATGAAGGATTTAATCCAAAATGAATGAATTTTCGGGTTCAAAAAGATGATTCTGGG